GGGAAGAGGGAGAGTCGGGCACGCGTGTGCACCGTGGGGAAGAGGGAGAGTTGGGCACGCGTGTGCACCGTGGGGAAGAGGGAGAGTCGGGCATGCGTGTGCACTGTGGGGAAGAAGGAGAGTCTGGCGCGTGCACACACAGGCAGTGGTGGGGAGCCCACCCTGGGTGGGAAGGGAGGAGAGGAAGAGCCAAAGCTCCCAGGCGGGGAGGGAGCAAGGAGGAAGCAAGGAGCGGAGCGTTTCGGACCAAGCCCAGCGGGTGGCTAGGAGAGGAGCCTGGAGAGGGGCCTCTTTCCAGGACAGCTGGGCACACTTCCGGCAACCCATTGGCCAGGGAGTAGAAAGCCGGAGGCACCCCAGGGACCTGGGCTTGCGTGGTTGAGGGTCAGGATGCCGCTGGCCAGCCAGGCATCGCTTTGGGCGGGGTGCCAGGAGCCTGGGTTGAGAAGCGAGGTGCGGGTGTGGCCAGGCCAGGTTCCAGGCAGAGCCACATGCTGTGAGCCAGCAAGTTAAACCCGAGAAGAGCGCCCAGCTAGTCCTTGGGCCTATCCCCGTGCAGAGGGCTTCTTCCCAGAGCCCCAGGCAATACCAGAAGAGGGATTGAGACCGCAGGGAGCAGCCACAACCAGGCGAGGGCCGGCCTCACAGACAGCCTGCCAGATGGACTCCCGTTCCAGGGTGATCTGAGCAGCTCCCTGGGAAGGAGGCGGGGCCCGGCAGGCAGTGCTGTGTCCCAGGCAGCAGCCACACCCATTATGCCAGGCTCCCTCACAGAACCCGGAAGGAAGCCCTGGGGCGCGGGTGGCCCACAGCATGGTCCCTGGGCGGACCCTGTGGTCAGGGGGAGGGAAGGAGGCTGGAGCTCCTGCCGGTGCCCTGGGGAACGTGGCCCAAGGCTCCGCTCCCCCTGTGCCCGCAGCCTCCGTGTGCCTCACCCTGCACCCGTGCCTGAACGGTGGCCAGTGCATCGATGACTGCGTCACCGGCAGCCCCTCCTACACCTGCTCCTGCCGTGCTGGCTTCACGGGCCGGAGGTGCCAGCTGGGTGAGTCGCTGGCCGCGCGGGGGCTGGGGAAGGCCGGGGACCCCGCCGTGGGTCCAGGCTGCGGACTCTGCCACCACCGCTGCGGCCTCTAGCTCAGCGTTCTCTTATCTGTCCTCGCCTCTGCCGGAGGCCCCGGCAGGCCCCAACCCAGCCTCCCGCCCGTGTTTCAGACGTGAACGAGTGTACCTCCCACCCGTGTCAGAACGGCGGGATCTGCACCCACGGCGTCAACAGCTTCACCTGCCAGTGTCCAGCGGGCTTCAGGGGGTCCACCTGTGAGTCAGGTGAGCACCAGCCTGGCCAATGCCCGCCGCAGGGCAGCACCACACCGATGGGTGAGGCCGAGGTTGGGCAGAGGCCGGAGAGGCCAGCAGGGGGAGGCAGTGGAGTGGACTCTGGAGGAGAGACCGGGGTGGGGTGTGGGGGGCAGACACGAGGGACGGCCCATCTCGTGGCTGTGAGCAGTGCTCAAGGGCTGCCCTGGGACCTGGTCCGGGCCAGGTCCAAGCCAGCCGGCTGCCGGGCCTGAACAAGAGCCCACATGCCGGTGGCTGGGGTGAGGAGAGGCACAGTGTGTATGGAGGAGATTCTCTGCCACCCCCCTGTACCTGGCTGCTGCCCTGGAGCCAGCTGCTCCTCCACACAGCTGCGTCCACAGCCCCTCCCCTGCCTGGGGCGCCCGCCCATCGCTGTCCACAGCCCCTCCCCTGCCTGGGGCGCCCACAGGAGTCCACAGCCCCTCCCCTGCCTGGGGCGCCCACCCACCGCTGTCCACAGCCCCTCCCCTGCCTGGGGCGCCCACAGGAGTCCACAGCCCCTCCCCTGCCTGGGGCGCCCGCTGGCTGCCTTCATCACAGAGGCTTCCAGGCCTCTGCCAGAGCCCTCAGAGCCCCGCTCTTCTGCTTCGGCAGCGGTCAGATGCATTCAGCCCCCACACTCCTGCCCTGTGGCCAGCACCCACAGACCCCTCACATTCACCCCTCCAGTGCCCAGCCTCAACATGGGGCGCTAATGGGAGCCCTTCATGTCAGAGTCGCTCAGCCAGACGCCCCCCAACACAGACATTTACAGAACGCGTGACCGATCGCTGTAACTCACACGGCAGCAATGCTGACATCTCCGTGTGGAGACACATTTCCTGTCCGAGGCTCATGGCCATAGAAAGCTACATATTTAAGTACACACACATTTTGCTAGGGAGAACTATAGTTGAATGACAGCAAAAGGCTTACATAAAAATGCATTAGCTGGGCACCCGTGGCCCACGCCTGTCATCCTAGCTACTCAGGAAGCTGAGATCTGAGGATCACAGTTAAAGCCAGCCTGGGCAGGAAAGTCCGAGAGACTCTAATCTCCAATAAACCATTTGAAAACCTGAAGTGGCGCTGTGGCTCAAGTGGTAGAGCGCTCGCCTTGAGCTGAAGAGTGCAGGGACAGCGCCCATGCCCAGAATTCAAGCCCCACGACTGACCAAAGAAAAATGCATTAAAAAGCTGGGGGCTAATGGCTTATGTCTGTACTCCTTGCTCCTCAGGAGGCTGAAAGTTAAGGATTGTGGTTTGAAGCCAGCCCAGATAGGAAAATCTGTGAGACTTACATCCAATTAGGCACCAAATAAGCTGAAAGTGGGTCTGCGACTCAAGTGGTAGAGCTTTGAACAAAAGAAAGCTCAAGGACAGCAACCAGGCCCTGAGTTCAAGCACCAGGAACGGCACACACAACAACAATCAGCACAAAAACCTAGATAAAATTCTACAGGAGAAATGGGAAGGCCACATGATTTCAAAAGGGGAAAGCAGAATTTCCAGCTGCCCCTTCCTCTCAGCTTGCTTGTGGGTCTTGACGCTGACACTGGCAGTGACCCCTTGTTGTCCAGTGTGACGGGGACACTGCTTTAGTCCCAGCCCGTCCCCCATCCCCCAGGCCTGGAGGACGTTCTGTACAGAGGAGCTTTTCCTCTGGCAGAGGTGGGGGCCTCCTCACCCACGGGTCCCTAGCTCAAGCCAGCGGTGCTGGGCTTCGTGGTGTGTGGGAGCTGCTTCAGGGTCCGCCTGCGGCTGCCTACCTGCGAAGCCTGCAGGGGCCCTGGGGCCTTCCTCAGCCTGGCCACCTGCGAGGCGCTGGCCAGGCAGGACACGGGGCCTGTGGAGAGAGGCTCCAGGGTGGGCGCTGCACTCTGGCTGGACCCGGTTCCAGAAGCCACCACCCAGGTGCACTGGGCTAGGTCCAGTTCCGATGGCTCTGTGGACAGCCAGCTGCCCAGGCTGGGCCTCCTCCCCACTGTCCTCCTCCGGAGACAGCCCGGAGTCCCCACTCCTGAGCAGCAGCTCCAGATGCCTCGGGACTCGGGTGGGACTCGGTGGGGATCGTCGGGCACCACTGCCCCGCAGCAGCTGCAGCCTGGAGGCCACTGTCCTGTCCACTTGTTGCCTGTAGCCCAGTCCCCATGTGACCACAAGGTATGTTGGAATGGCGGCCAGTGCCAGGCAGAGGGCGGCTCCGCGGCGTGTGTGTGCCAGGCTGGGTTCACAGGAGCGGCCTGTGAGACCGGTGAGTGGGCTGCAGGGGGCGGGGTGGGGAGGGCCGAGGGCGGGGAGGCGGGCTGGGGAGGGCCCCCGGCCAGCTGGGCTGCAGGGGGTGGGGTGGGGAGGGCCCAGGCCAGCTGGGCTGCAGGGTGTGTGCCCTGCTGGAAACCCGCGTCTGCCGCCTCAGACCTGGATGAGTGCAGCTCGGATCCCTGCCTGAACGGAGGCTCCTGTGTGGACCTGGTGGGGAACTACACCTGCGTGTGCGCAGAGCTCTTCGAGGGCCCGCGCTGCGAGACAGGTAGCCGCTGTGGGCCGGTCTCCACCTGGGCAGGGGGGGAGC